CTTAAAGGTCTTTTCCAGCCTAAACGATTCTATGATCCTATCCCGTGACATGCCACCTACATTTCCCTGATCTGTTTGCATTAAGAGTGACCAGAGTGAAAAACCTGTTACGGGAAGCAGCCACTCTGCAGGTAGTTACCTATTTCTCTTTTCTCTGTTTCAGCTCTGTCACCAGTGGTTCTGCCAGCAATATTCCCAGCTCTCATCATCACTTTGCTAATAGTTGCTTATTGCAGCTATAAGTATTTCCTCAGGTAGGCTTGCATTGTGACTAGGAGATTTAGCAGCGTGTTGGCCACGTGGCATAAAGGCTGAGGCACTTCTTGTCCCCCATGAGGGAGAGGTCTATGTGGAGATGAGCGTTGGTGTGCAATGGGCAGCCTTGTGCATGTCTGTGCAAGGGTGAGAGTTGGGTGGTGGCATGCCGGGGCCTTGGTGGTGCCTCGCTGTGCAAAGCAGCATAGTGTACAGGGTGCAGTCTTTTCTGGTCGCAACCACGTTGAGAAGCAAATCTTGGAAAAGTCTGTGGTGTTGTTGCAGGAAGAAGCAAAGGTGGGAGGAAAAGATTCCGAACCCCAGCAAGAGTCTCCTGATCCAGAGCTACCTGGGGGTAAGAGGGAACTGTACCTTGAAGGGTGCTCCTGGAGAAGTACAACATGGAGTTATTCCAGGGTGAAAAGAAAGAAGGGAGGGGTGTGTTGGGATGTCTGGTTGAGGGGGAGCTGCCAACTCAGAGTCTGGACTGTCACTGAACAGACTGCTGTCCTGTCCAGGAGGGTTATGAAGCCTTGGTTGAATCTCATGAAAGCATGCACTACAGACTTTGGTTTTCTGCCTATTTTCTTACCTTAGTATCCAGGACCTGAGAACTGAAAAATAAAATCAACTCTCCCCTCTGACTCATCTGGTCAGTTTTGCCATCCCTTGCCTCCAAAATGCCTCCCAGACTCCTCATACAATAAACTGGTTGTCCCTAGATGGCCTTGATCTTTCTCTTTTCCTGGTCAGGATGTTGCCTGAATCTCTGCAGTGCTACCTCTACAGTCTTTGCACAATTACCTCCCTGTATAATACTCCTCTGCAGTCACTTGGGGCTGACTTCATACTGAGAGCTGTATTTCCTCCTACATGCTATTCTTCCTGGACATGGACATTTTCCTCCATATAAGAAAGGAGACGGCAAAGAAAAGGAAATGTATAGTTTGCACAGTCATATCTTTGCAGGCATTTTTAAAAGTAAGTGGCTTCGTCTTTCTTCCATCTCTCCCCCTCACCCATTTCCTGATTTCATCTGAAAGGGCCATGCAAATCTTGTGATCCAAAGAAATTATATCCCAATGGGTGGATATCACCAACAGAGGCACTGCATGGAGCATACTTGGAGTTTTATGAAAACGGTGGCTAGGTTCCTTCCTGGAGCTGATGCTTGCATGTTTCAGTTCCTCACTATCATAGTTCAACAGCCTTATCTATCTGTGAGTCTCCCCTGGAACCGTTGGATTTGTATTTGATCTCACATCTCTAATGTCTCTATCTCCTTAAGGCAATGCTGCTAATCTCCATTCTACAGACAGAGAACTCGTGTTATTTTTGCCACTGTGTTTTATCTTCTACTTAGGCTAAATGACTTCCACCTCATTTCTGGTTCCCTACAGTGAGAGTCAGTGATGCACAACTCCAGGGAAGAGTGGTATTTATAAAGATTAACTTAACAGTTACTTCTCCAATTGCAACATTTTTAGCTTTCCACCTCTGTCTTCTCTATCAGCCTCACCCCCTATCTTGCAAGTCATTTTGTCCTATTTTGTATTTTCACCTTAAGTGGAATGCCTGGTCTTAGCATTGCTCTTGAGCATGCTGCACATGGTGGGCTGTCATGGTCCTCAGCTAACTGTTCATTTGGCACCCAGTATTTCTCAGCCCCTTATTCAGTCAGCAAGCAACGTCTCTCAGGCATGCATACAGTCAGCAGTTGATATAGGGGAAGTGTGGTACACCAGACCATATCATGCATATCTGCATGTTTTGCAGGCTCTGATAAATCTCCCTTGCAGAACAGTCATTGTTCTAAAGTTCCTCCTGATTAATGAATGATGGTGATCAGGCCCTGTCAGCATGGGTTTATGAAAGGCAGGTCCTGCTTGAGTAACCTGATCTTCTTCTGTGACAAGGTGACCCACGTAGTTGATGAGGTAAAGGCTGCTTGTTGTCTACCTAGACTTTAGTAAAGCCTTTGACACCATTTCCCACAGCATTCTTCTGGAGAAACTGACCGCTCATGGCTTGGATGGGCATATTCTTCACTGGGTAAAAAACTGGCTTGATGGCCAGGCCCAAAGTGGTGAATGGAGTTAAATCTAGTTGGCGGCCAGTCACAAGTGGTGTTCCCCCGGGCTCAGTATTGGGTCCAGTTCTGTTTAATATCTTTATCAATGATCTGGATGAGGGGATCGAGTGCACCCTCAGTAAGTTTGCACGAGTTGGGTGGCAATGTTGATCTGCTTGAGGGTAGTAAGGCTCTACAGAGGGATATGGGCAGGCTGGATCGATGGGCCAAGGCCAAGTGTGTGAGATGCAATAAGGCTAAGTGCCAGGTCCTGCACCTGGGTCACAACAACCCCATGCAGCGCTACAGGCTTGGGGAAGAACGGCTGGAAAGCTGCCTGGCCGAAAAGGACCTGGGGGTGTTGGTTGATAGCCGGCTGAACATGAGGCAGCAGTGTGCCCGGGTGGCCAAGAAGGCCAACAGCATCCTGGTTTGTATCAGGAAGAGTGTGGCCAGCAGGAGCAGGGGAGTGATCATCCCCCCGTACTTGGCACTGGTGAGGCTGCACCTGAAATATAGCGTCCTGTTTTGAGTCCCTCAGTACACGAAAGACATTGAGGTTCTGGAGGGTGTCCAAAGAAGGGCAATTAAGCTGGTGAATGGTCTAGAGCACAAGTCCTAAGAGGGAACTGGGATTGTTTAGCCTGGAGAAAAGGAGGCTGAGGGGAGACCTTATCACTCTCTACAACTACCTGAAAGGAGGTTGTAGTGAGGTGAGTGTCGGTCTCTTCTCCCAAGTAACAAGCAATAGGACAAGAGGAAATGGCCTCAAGTTGTGCCAGGGGTGTTTTAGATTGGATATTAGGAAAAATTTCATCACCAAAAGGGTTCTCAAGCATTGCAACAGGCTGCCAAGGGAAGTGATTGAGTCACCATCCCTGGAGGTATTTAAAAGACATGTAGATGTGGTGCTTAGGGACATGGTTTAGTGGTGGACTTGGCAGTGCTAGGGTAATGGTTGGACTTGATGATCTTAAAGGTCTTTTCCAACCTAAATGATTCTATGATTCTAATTTGGTTGTTGACAAACTTCATCAACTTCTTTTTCTGTCCATGCACAAAAATCAACATCAGTACAAGGCCATCCACCACTCTAAAAAGCATCACAATAGCTTTGTTACCTATCTCATGCTCATGCTACCCAGCTCTCTATCCACAAGTGCTCTCTCTTAGTCCTGTGGTTTTGAGAGTTTTCATCTCTGTAGCAAATTCTCTTATCCTAAATTTTGTAAACATCCCAGCAATTCTGTTTCTCTGCTCAGTCATCACAGAGGGAGAGTCATTTTAGCTCTGCCAGTGAAATGTTGCCCAGAGTGTCCTCATGTGCTGCTGAATCAGAGTAGGTATTGCAGAAAACAGCAGCTTTGAGGTTTATTGTGACAGGAACCTGCAGCTGCAGCAGCCCCTGACTCCTATGCTGCACAAAGATAGGTCAGGGATAGAGAAGACAGAAGTGAAGGAGTAGTCTTCTGGAGGACAGGACATACTTTGTAGCCACAGCGGTGGGATTGCTTCCACATTACCATCCATTGTGACTTGAAGATCTAAGAGAAATGGATCTCAGCTTGTTCTGGCTAGAGAATGAAGGTTGAAACGTGAAGAGGATCTGCAGATTGGAGCAAGGACGAGGGAGGGAAATGCTGATAGAAGATGTTAGAACAAATCAAAGGGGTATGAAGGTGCCAGGAATCCTTTCAGATTGGCAGTTTTTTAACCTGCATCAATATATTAAAGATTGCCTGTAGCAATGTTTCTGCTGTGTTTAGGTGGGGAAACAGCATGGCCCTAAAAGTGAGAACAGCAAGGTTGTTGGGACAAAAGTTATTTAGAAAAGATTACTTCTAAAACACAGGTTGATAAACTGGTAAAACTAATTATAAAATGTGAATGCCTGGAAGCTCATTCTTGTCCTAAGCGTCTATCACGAATGTGCTACTCGTGTTCTTGTGCCCATGGCTCCTGGCTCTTCCTAGCCTTAATGTGATCTTTCTTTCCTCAGAAGTGTTACAATCTTCATTTTCTCTTTTCAGGAAGCTGTCAGCCAATGGCCAGCCAGCCAGGTGGGCTTCAATGGGCAGAACACTTCTGAGGAGGCGGAACAGATTAACTACCTTAAAGTGCTGGATGGGTAAGCAAGCAGCCCACTCCCTACTCCTTTCTTGAAAAGTTCCTTACTAAACATGGGGTAACAGCAGGCTGTGCCTGGATATCACCCATTGCAATGAGGAAGACAAAGCATTTTCACCTGTATATCTCCTAAGTCTGTGTACACATTCCAAACATCTATGGAAATCGTAATGAATTGCTGCAGCTGCAGACCTTGACTTCCCCGGCTGAAAGTCTGAGGATAGAAACCTGCTCCCTTTCTTCCTCTGCATTTCCTTTGGAAATAGGTTTGAATAAAAGGCATTGACCTAATAGGGTGGAAATCTTGTTGGCTGAATTCCTCCCAGTCTGCCTGAACACAACCTCCCTCTCATGAAAATACACATATTCCCTTACCTTTTCATCTTCCAGAAATTACATACTTTCTGCTCCTTGAAGCAAAGTCTGAATTTGAAAGTAGAATGTGAACAAAGAAGAGCTGCAGTGGTCCTGGCCAGTGTGAGGCTGATCAGAAATAGCTCCAAATTGTCCATACAGCCTCAAATTTGTGTCAGGTCTTCAAAGACAGAGCAGAGAAGTGACCACAGTGCTCTGCTCAGGAAACTATCCCAGGTTGCAGAGCAGCTGGGGAGGCTGACAAATTAAATTGACTCTTGGGTTTCATGATAATTATCTGCATCTTAAGAGAGAGGGTCAGCTCTTTTTAATATATACTTTTGTAAGTCATGTGAAGGAAAGATGGATTATGTTTGTTACTTCTTTGAAATCTTTGTCTTCCCCCTTTGTCTAGCTTCACATTCAGTGCTTGTAAGAGACAGGGGCCCTTTATTTTGAAGAAGTAACTGCAAAGTGTCACTGAAAGCTCGAGAGCTGCATAAATGCTGATGCTAGCAGTCACATTGCCTGAGCCTATACTGCTAAATAAATCAGGGCCAAGATGTAGTATCAAGCACTGCCTTGTAACTGCTTGCCCTGCTTTGTTGTCAGCAGTTTCCCTGCCATGGTTTAGCCTGTGCCAACTAGTGCTCTCCAAGATAACATCCTGGCACACTTTGGGAGATAACACAGGGTAGCAACCATTCCCAGTTGGCAACATGGATACAACTGTACCAGGTTAGGCTGTGTCCAGTGTCCTTCAACAGTATTATAGTAGGCTTTGCAACCACGCTGTGCAACACATATCCTGTTTCACACTGTGAATAAAGCTGTAACACAGTGGTCACATTATGTCGTGCACTTTGAACTGAAAAAACAGACACAAAACCTTAGCCGTGTTTTAGACTGCAGAGACACTGTGGAAGACCCAGAAGACTACCATAGCTATACAGTGTGGACACAGCCAGTCTATGCCATTTTACCAGAGGGCCAAAGAATGGGCCCTGGCCCTGTTTTATTTACAGCGAAATACATAGCTTTTCTCAAAAGCTGATTTGTGCTTGCATATCTTGGCATTGAGAAAAGTTGGTGGTAGACAGTTGATATCTTGCTGTGGCACAGAAAAGGCTGAGGCTTGCATCTTCTAAGGGAGGTACAAGAGATGTGGCCAAAGGTTCCTTCTGGTTTCCTGGAAGACAGTGTACCCCCTTAGACTATGTCCTGTTTATATGAGGTTATCACCTTAAAGAGCTGTCAGTTAGAGGCTGTCAATAGCAGCTAAGTCCTGTGTTTTTTCACCTGAACAGGATGACTAATAGTCCAGCAGAGTTCCATGGAGCTGAGGCAAAGACAGTGCAGTTTTCCCATGCTACACTGGCTCCACAAAACTCCGGTCAGACTTCCGGAATGCCACATAAAACCTCACTTTCATTGCCTGCACTTGTCTGCCCATTGAATCAGACTGTTTGTTCATCCTGCCTCTTTGCCAGGCTTGCATGCAAGAGTGCTGCTCCTGCAAGTACTGCTTTGCAGACTTGCTTTGCTCTCAATGGTCCATACTTGTACAGCCCAGTGATGTCCTCCCAGCCTGATATGCATCAGACCTTGGCAGTGGACCCAGTGGGATTCCATGAGAAATCAGTTTCCCTTCAGTATGTGGCCCTGCCAAAGGAAGACTGTCCCCAGGCTCCACAGAAGCAAGAACAGCCAGGAGCAGGTCCTCCACAGCCCTTCCAGCTCCCAAATTAGAAGGAAACAATGCAGCACCTTGACAATGACAAAGAAGTCTCACCGGCTCCACCAGCCTGTGGGAAAACCACGAACGACAGAAGAGAAGAGCAGAAATCTCCAAAGGCTCTTAGCTGTATCATGTCTCCGCAGCAGTGCCCCTTGGAGTACATCACCACAGAGAGCCTGTTACTGCCACCAGCCAGCAACTCCACCCATCCGCCACTTGTCGCTACTGGGGAGTTACCTTGTGACTCGCAGGAGCCCCAGTCCCCCAGTGACCACCCTTGCCATGACTTTTCTCCTGGGAAAACTGGTGTCGTGGTCCCGGTTTCAGGTCAAGCACCAACCTCTTCTCCTGAATTGCACCTGGATGTGTTTGGAGGCCCTATAGGTCTCCATGGACATTCAGAACCCACAAAAATGTCCTTACATATTTTTTGAAAAGGAGTATTTTTTTTTCCCCAAAGAACCTGTGTTGGAGAACTAAGTAGTCATATTTAATCCTGCCAGCACCACAACAGTTTTCCTCCATTATGGGCAGTTGTTACCCTGTCCCCAACCTAAAACCCAGTAAGAAGGTGCAGATGAGTCAGAAAGATCCCCAAGTTTACGTGGCAAGATTTTGGTAGCAGGGAGGCTACAGGGGTGGCTTCCGTGAAAAGAGGCCAGAAGCTTCCTCCGTGTCTGAAAGAGCCAGTTCCAGCCAGCTCCAAGACAGACCCACCGTTGGCTAAAGCTGAGCCAATCAATGACGTTGGTAGCACCTCTGTAATAACATATTTAAGAAAGGGTAAAAACTGCTGCACAAAAGCAGCTGGGAGAGAGGATTGAGAATATGAGAGAGAAACAACTCTGCAGACACCAAGGTCAGTGAAGAAGGAGAGGCAGGAGGTGCTCCGGGCACTGGACCAGAGATTCCCCTGCAGCCCATGGACATCCACAGTGGAGCAGATATCCACCTGCAGGCTGTGGAGGACCCCACGCCGGAGCAGGGGGATGTGCCCGAAGGAGGCTGTGACCCTATGGGAAGCCCACACTGGAGCAGGCTCCTGTCAGGAGCCTGTGGACCCGTGGAGGGAGAGGAGCCCATGCTGGAGCAGGTTTGCTGGCAGGACTTGTGACCCTGTGGGGAACCCATGCTGGAGCAGTACATTCCTGAAGGACAGTGCCCCATGGACGGGACTCACACTGGAGTAGTTTGTGAAGAACTGCAGCCTGTGGGAAGGACTCACATTAGAAAAGTTCATGAAAAACT